GGCCAGGGGGAGAATGGGGAAGCGCAGGCACGAACGTGCCCGACTTCAGCCAGTACCGCTGCTCGCGCCCCGACCCCACGCAGCTCGAGGTGCGCTGGGTGGTGATCGGGCCCCCCCTCGATGTCCATCCTGCTCCCATCGACGACCACGGAATGACAAACGCGAGCAGAATTTTGCTCGCGTATATCGCCCTGTAATCGTCGATGCCGCCTTCGCCCATTGTCTTCCTGAGTTTGCGCCGTTCCCTGACCCTTTCATTTCCCCGCAGGGGTCTCTGCTCCTCTCGCTGTCGTTATCCCCCTCCCCTACTCCTTCTTCCTTTCCGATCTCGTATCCTCTCCTGCGTGATCTTTCCCCTCCTCCGCGACCATCATATTGTTCCTCCCCGCGCCCTGCCGTCTTCCTCATCTGTGTGTCTCGTATTCGGTGCCGTTGCCACCTTCGCGTTCAGCCCCTCGACCTCTTCTCATCTGGCGCATCGAGTCACCCATCCCCGCGCCCTCCTCCTGACAACGCCCAGCCTAATCCGACCCCAACCCTCGGACTCCAACTCGGCGCGGGGAAGGGCAGGTGTGGCGGATGACCATGGAGGCCTTGGACATCATCGACGAGAAGAAAAGATTCACGCAGAAGACGATGGAGGCCGCCGAGGGGTTTGAGGGGAGTAGGCACCATCAGCCTCAATGGAAGGAGCAGGGGAAGGAGGAGGAAATGGGGGTAGCTGGGGCAGAGGGGCCCCGACTGCGGGTAGGGCGTGGGGTCAGTGAGATCTCTCTTCCTTCTTCTCTTTCTCTCGCTCTCTCTCTCTCTCCCTCTCTCTCTCTCTCTCTCTCTCTCTCACATAATACCGGTCGAATGATCTAATTGACCTATGTGGCTTTTTCCCTGCGACATAGAAGGCGCGCGCGCGCGTGCTGGAGAGAAGGAAGAAGGGGATCAAGGGAAGCGATAAACGAGAGGGAGAGATAAGATAGAGTGAGAGAAATGCGAGTGAGAGAGAAGAGAGAGAGAAGAGAGAGAGAGAGAGAGAGAGAGAGGAGAGAGAGAGAGAGAGAGAGAGAGAGAAGCAGACACCCAAAAACAACAACACAACGAATCAGAGAGAGGGGGGGAAACAGAGAGAGAGAGAGAGAGATACAGAGAGCGAGAGCGAGAACCCCAACAATAAAGAATCAACGAGCAGGGAAAGGACCAGAGTGAGAGCGAGAGTGAGAGTGAGAGAGCGAGGGGGAGATCTTGGGAGACGTTCCCGCAGGCGGCGTGGGACATAGCCTTCGGCGAGACGGTCAAGACCGCCTGGAAGGACAAGCAGCGCAAGAGGATGTCCAAGCAGGCCCTCGAGGGCACCAGGTTCCAGGCCGAAACCGATGTTCAGACGGGGGGGGGGGCTGGGAGAGCAGACGAGGGGACAGATGAGGGAGAGAGATGATGAGGTGAGCTCAGGTTCGAGCGACTCCCTCCATCCCTTGAGCCCTCAGCCCCCATGAACCCCTCGACCGATCGAGAAGAGGGCTCGATCGAGGCATTCGATCCTGTCGGGGGGCTCAGCTTGAAGTGGCGACGATGCGCGCGCCCTCTCATTCGTCGTTTTTCTTCTCGTCACCGCCGCCAGCCTCCCGCGACCCGCGCGCCAGGTTCCTGAGCGCGAAGGCTATCAGAGACATGCGCAGGGACTGGCAGCTGCACAGCAAGAAGCTCGAGAGTGACACTCAGGATTCCAGCCTGCGCGCCTCTGTTTTTGATTTTGCTTGTGGTGGGGCAGATTGCGGTGAAGGTTGATGAGACAGGCGACGGGGTGGGAGGATACCGCCGTGGATGCTAAGGAACGATGCAGGGTGAGGATGCAGAGGGGGAAGAGGTGGGCGAGGGTGTACTTTGAGCGGGCAAGGACGAGGAGACGAGCACGAAGGTAGGATCCCGATGGGGGGCGAGCGAGAAGGGGGGAGGAGGGGGGGGAGGAGGTGGCTCCGGTAGACGTTATATGACCCAAGCTTGACGTTATTAAAGGGGCTCCAGTGCGGGGTTCGCAGCGTCGAGTGGGGGAGAAGAGGAAGATGGCGATGGGGCGATGAGCTCAGGGGGCAGCGCCGCCCCGAAGGAGCAGTCAGGCGATGAGGATTCAGATGTGGACGACGCGCAGCTGTCAGAGTACTGGGCCGTGAAGCTGGCGGAGCCGATCGCTGCTGATATCAATTCTGATCAGGGCCCTGGAGGGTTTCCGTCGTAGGGGGGAACTCCTGATGAGAAGGATCAGCTCATAGTGGAAGGGAGGAGGGGGAAAGGGGGGGGATGATGGGCAGCATCACGAGGACCCCATGGATCACGAGGGGCTGACGAACAGGGTGGAGGAGGTGCAGTGTCAGATCGATGGCTGTATATGGGACATGGCCTGCGACGTGGCAGGTATTCCCGCTGTCGAGGCGGGCATTCCCGCACTCCTCATCTTTAGTGTTTGTGCTTCTCTTCCTTCCAGCAGTTGTGTGTCTCTCTCTCTCTCTCTCTCTCTCTCTCTCTCTCTCTCTCTCTCTCTCTCTCTCTCTCTCTCTCTCTCGCTTCCTCCTCCAACGTGTATATATGTATATATATTGCAGCAATCACTGATGTCTCTTTGCGGCATGAGTCGTGGCCAGGTCTTTTCGATCCATCGCCCATTGTGCTCAAATTTTTTCTGCTGAACAGTTCAGCAGCGCAGGCTCGCGCGGGCCCTCTCCTAACTCTCGACCGCCCACTTCATATACCCTCTCACCAGGGACGGGATCGGGCCGACCTCGTGAGTGTGGTCCTGCCACGCTCCGCCCGCCGCTGCGGAGATCTGCGAGCCCGTGTTAGACATCGTTGGGCACGTTGTCGTGGGCCCCTTCTGCAGCGGCGACGGCCGCCCAGTCTGCCCGTGCCAAGCGTCACCCCTTGCAGGCTCGCCAAGCGGCGGGCGGACGGTGGGTCTGGAGTTCGCGGTGAAGCTCAGCTTCCTGAGTCTGCTCTCGGCTACGTGCTTGGGAGGTGCGGTGGACGTCGCCAGGCGACGGAGTCGTCCACTCCTGCTGCCTCGCCGGGACCAGCGTCTCGTGAGTGGGTGGAGGCATGGCGGCTGTCAATCGGACCTTAGAAGATGTGGATGAGCTGCAGATACTCGCCCACTACGAGGACGATGCTGCTGGGCTGCGCTACCACCATCGTGTCTTGTTCACAAAGGTGGCCGCAGGTCGCTGGATCATAGGGACCCCCGACGGTGACGTCTATGAGGAGGACTTCAATGGGGTTGAGGTGCGACCGCTGGCACGGAATGGAGCTTTCCCAGTGGACCTAGCAGGCATGATGTACGTGTTTCGAGGCCCACAGCGGGCCGCTGCTCGGATCGCCACCATGCGAGAGCAGGCGCGAGGAATCGCGGAGGTGCTGGGCGTGGCTCCTGCACCGGGCGCTGGCGGGGTTGCAGGCTCTAGTTGGCGTGTGGCAGATCCTTCATCGGCTGAGTTCGATCAGGTCATCACTGCTGCCGAGCTCGCCGACTCGACCGAGGATCGCGACGACGGTATCAAGGTTCAGCGGTTGGCACTCATCAGCGGCGTCACCCAGCTGGTCGAGTTAGTGAAGGACACAGACCACGACGCCTGGTTCGCTCGGAAGCGGCCTGGGCTGCCTGGAGGAGCTTCAGGAGATCTGCGGCTGCTCGGCAATTTTTTTAACTCTGCGCAGAGACGAGTGCTGCCGCCGGCGAAGGCGATTGAGCTTGTGACGCCTAAGACGTTCGCTGACTGGCCTCATCCTGGGCCGAAGGCGACCCAGGAGTTCCTCGAGTCGGTGCTCGAGAACGGCGGGGACTTGCAGGTGTGGCTCAACGCTTTCATGCGCAAGTCTGGGGTCAGCGAGAACTCTTCGGTGGCGCATGAGCTCTGGAACCTGGTCCAGATTGTGAGGCTCGGGATCAGCTACGACCAGATCGATCCGACCAACCTGGCTTGCATCGAGCAGGCCGTGCGCAGGATTCACGAGATTCAGCAGGCCATCCGTCGGAACCCGAAGCACCCGGACTTCACGGGCCTCGACATCGGCACTACCGGGTCTTGCGACGAGATCGGCGGAGCCCGCCTGCACAGTTTCGATTCCTGGCTCAGCAGCAAGCAGAAGGAGGAGGCCAAGACGATGGAGGCCCAGAGGAAGTGGCGCGAGGAGCTGGCCGCCGAGCGTCGACGATCTGACAATCGAGATGGGCCTCCAAATCCCAAGGCTAAGGCGAAAGCAAAGGCCTCTCCTGCTGGCCAGCAGGAGGGGCAAGCATCATGACCGCCACGGCTCCGGGAGGCAAGGATGAGACATTTCCCTGCCGAGGCTCCCGTGTACTAAGTGGGGAGTTTTTGGAAAAAGGAGGCGGGCCTGAGCATGGTGATCCGTTCCCGCTGCCAGTACCTCGTATTGCTGGTCGCGGTGATCGCGGGCCTCCTCCACACCGCGAAGCGCCTGGTTTGACTGTTCGAAGAAGCAGACAGCTCAGAGTTGCCGAAGCGGTGCGCAGTCTTAACACCTTGGCTGCCTCTACTGCCTCCTCGATGCGCTCTGGAGGTGCTTGGTTTGGGACCTCATCTCCGCCGCGCCTCTCTTTCACCCAGACTGCTGTGATGAATCGAGTTCGAGACGTCGTTGGTAGTTATGGGCCGATGCCGGCGGGGATGACAGCTCGGGAAGCTTTCTGGGAGCTTCTCAAGGCAAACGACCTGCACTGCGTCGGCGAGAAGAACTTCGCCCCGTACCAGCCCGATCTTCTGAAGATCGTGAAGGGCAAGACGGTGCCAAAGCCCGCCGTCGACTTGCTGCCGCCTGAGGAGGCGGCGTTCTTGATCGATCCTGATAGGTACCTCGTCCGCTCGCAGCCTGAGATCGATGCATGGAATGAGGAGCGCCCGACCTTCAGGCCCTACTGGGGCCCCCACTTGCGACAAGATCGGGCTGCACGGCTCGACCTCTATCGCAAACTCTATAGCAAGGGACTCTTAGGGTTCCGAACTCGTATCAAAGCGCAGGTGGGGATATTCTTCGTGTGGAAGTCGTCTCGCCGCGGGATCAGGCTTATCGTGGACGCCAGAATGCCGAACGGCCACCACCGCTTGCCGCCGAAGACTAGACTGGGTGGTGCCAGCGCCCTCGCACAGCTCGACGGCTGGCTTGACCAGGATGAGCTTGCTAGCTTGGCGCAGGGATGTGGCCCGATCGCCGAGATCCCGAACCTCTCCGTCTGCGTAGGCGACGTGGAGGACGCCTTCTACCAGTTCTCCGTTGAGTCGATGGCTGAGTGGTTCGGCCTAGACGACCCCGTCCGGTGCTCCGAGTTCGGCCTCTCGCAGATCTTCGACAACGATCTTGGGGGGCTTCGCCCCGCCCGTCCCACGGAGAAAGTGTTCCCCGTTTTTCTCTGGATGCCGCAAGGGTGGTCTTGGGCCCTGCACTTCTGTACCACCTCGGTGAAACACTTCACCTCCGCTGCAATCGGGGGAAAACACCGGCTGGTGCAAGAGGGGCTCCCTGCTCCTGATCTTCGATCTGGTCCTGTCTCAAGCGTCTACCTGGATAAACTTGCCACGGTGGGCCTCTCGAGCTCCGAGGTTGCGTCGGACTACGCGGCGATCAAGAGGGAGCTTGAGAGCGCAGGTTTCACGTTGCATGAAGAGGGCGGTGACGCTATGCTGGTGGAGAATGTGGGTATTGTGATAGACAAGAGCAGGTGCAGCATTCGTCACAAGTCCGAGAGGGCTTGGCGGTTGTATCTTGGAATAAAGTATGTTTTGAAGTTGCGTCGGGTGACTGGAGAGGCAGTTCGAGTACTGCTGGGTCATTGCATCCACTATCTTGTCCTCCTGAGGCCGGCGATGTCTGTCTTTGCTCACGCCTATCGCTTTGTGAACAGCAGCCTCGGACGTACATGTGAGCTACCTGGTCAGGTGAAGCGTGAGTTCCGCCTGATGGCGGGGCTCGTTTTCTTGGCAGAGGCGCGGCTGTCTGTTCCACCATCGGATCGAGCCTACTGTGGAGACGCGTCAGGGAAGGGATACGCCGTCATGGACACCCCCATGGGCCCCGTGGAGTTCCGTAAGCTTACGAGGTGGAAGGAGCGTTGGAGGTTCGTGGAGGTGGAGGGGGATCGCGGGGACATCTTGAAGGCCTCTGGAAACCTGCCGCCCCCGAACCCTGGCTGGTCTGCTGATCTCGAGGTGCCTGACACGTCGTATTCGCGGTGGCTTCTGGAGTCTGCTGGGATACCCACCCCGTCCTCAGGTGTCCTGGAGTCGGGGGGCTTCCGTTCGGGAGTCTGTAAACTACGGGGTAAAGAACGTAGACAGCTAGAGCAGAAGGAGATAGTTGGCATGGTCCCGATCCCCCCCGAGAGCGTTGTCGATCCTGGTCGTTGGCGTACTCTAGCCGAGGGGAGGTGGAAAAGGGACGAGGCCATCCATATGAAGGAGGGGAGGGTGATTCTGATGGCGCTCCGCAGAGAGTCCTACACTCGTTCAGGTCATGGACGTCGGCTCCTCGTGCTGTCTGACAAGCTCTCGTCTCTGTGCTGTCTCGAGAAGGGCCGAGCCAAAGACTTCGGCCTGCTTGCCCTAGCCCGCAGGTGTGCCGCCTACTCGATTGGACGTGGCATCGACCTGAGGCTCCGATACATCGAATCCGAACGAAATCCCGCAGATGAGGGATCGAGACGCTTCGACGACGAAACACATCATGTTGCCACAACCACTCGGGGCCCTCCGCGCTGCTCGGCCTCGTCAGCTCTCTCTCGCAGGCTTCGGGACGATAGGCCCGCCGTCGGACGTCCTCCTCGGTCTCGGGGAGCTATGCCGCCTGCAGGAGTTTCACTGGATCTGAAAAAGAGCGCCTCTGGGTCTGCATCGTCCTGGCAGTCAGGCAGGGACGTGAGTGCTCAACAGTCTTCGTCTCGTTCGCCGTCCTTACCATGCTCTACGAGACGCTTCGCGCCAGCCTTCCTGGAGCTCTAGTCGGGATGCGGGGCTCTGACGTCTGGGATGGCCGAGGTGGGCCTCAGGGTGTCCGTGCCGTTCGATATCGTCGAGGGCCCGGAGTTCAATCTCGAGAAGCGGGGTGTCCAGGATGTCGTGGTCAGGTGGCTCGTCGAGGGCCGCATCTGGTGCTTGCATCTTGGGACGCCGTGTACTCCTTGGAGTATTGCGAAGAAGTCTCGGCCCATGAAACCGTCGATGCGGGTGTCTCGGGAGCACGTTCGGTTCACCGCAAAGTTGATCCTTCTCCCTCGAGAACCCCAAAACCTCATCTCTGTTTAGGCAGCCCGAGATCCTGGAGGCTCTGAAATATGCAGACGCCTTCTTTGTCGAGTATGACTGTTGTCGATACGGCTGTTCGTACAAGAAGCCGGCCCTGCTAGCTACCAACTGTGATTCCTTAAATAGCTTGAGTCTGAAGTGTGAATGTGGGGGGCCTCACGAGATCCTTCAAGGGAAAGTACGACTATTGGCTCGAGACGGACATCATTGCTGGAAGTGGAAGACCAGTCTTGCAGCCTCGTACGCCCCCAACTGTGCCGGTCGTGGGCGTGGGCCGCACGCCGCGCCGCTCCGAGGGGAGCAGAGCGCTCGCCAGGCGAGGCCCTGCTGTCGGATGCCTGGCTGGAGGAGCTGCGTCGAGGCGCTGGAGCCGGTCTCCATCGGCCGCGGCTCGAGCTCGGCCCTCTCCCGCGTCGCTGGACCTCGCCCTGGGCCGAGGCTACGGGCGCCTGGGGCACGGGCCCAACTTGCCGCTGGGCGTGCTCTACGTCTCGGGACGGAAGGAGGACCGGGGTTCCTGAAGGCGCTCACGACCCGGTCGGCAGGGGGCCTCCAGGCCTACACGGAGGCCAACAACAAGTTTACTGTTTTCGTCCGCCGCAGTGGGCTGCCGTTCGACACCGCTCGTCACGTCGACGAGGCGCTGAGGATGTTCATGGTGCTGTTATTCTTGCGTGGTGAGCCGCAGTCAGTTGCCCGCTCCGCCCTGCACGGCCTCGCGAGATGCCATCCTGAGATGCTTCACTGAGACCGGAGGCTCTACATCAGAAGCCGCGCTGCACTCGCGGGATGGCGCAACTTTGAGCCGGGCGGGACGCGCGATCCAGCCCCCGCCGAGGTCACGGGGCGGATCGCTGACGACATGCTCCAGCGAGGTGCGGTGCTTGTCGCCTTCTCTGATCGTCCTGGGCTTCGACTGTTGTCTGCGGGCTGGCGTAGATTGCACACTGCGCCACTCCAAAGTCACGCCACCGGCTGCTGCAGTTCCAGTGTGATCATTTCATCTTCCCCTCCAAGCATCGAGAATTCGTGAACTGTTTCAAGGATTCGGTTGGGCGGCTCGGCATATCGCACTCCCGTCTGTCACCCCAGTGCCTGCGCCACGGTGGCCCGTCAACGGACGTATACACCAGAGCTTACACTCTAGAGCAGGTGCGCCGCCGAGTAAAATGGGCCGACCATCGCAGTGTATCTAGATTTGGGAATCACACTCGTCTGCGCGCTGTGTCTCGATCGTTGCAGCTGGGCGATCAGCGCCCTGCCTCGACCGCCGCTGCCACTCTCTTCAGTTGCCTGCTCACGGCCCTCCGCCAACCAGCCCTTTGGTTTAATGCAAGGTATATTGCAACTGTTACGTGAGTGACTGTTTCGGTCGCGCTCGCTGCGATCGTGGCTCTGGCAAGCGCGCTCCGAGCTTATGTTTTACAGATCCAAGCGTGTGCTGGCTGCGCACGGCCCCGAGAAAAAGAGGAGCTCTGGAGGTCCTTCAGGCTCTCAAGTGGTCTCAGACTGTGGGTCAGTATGTAGCCTCCTTGGCCACGCAGGTTAGTGAATGTAAAGATTGCAGCAATCACTGATGTCTCTTTGCGGCATGAGTCGTGGCCAGGTCTTTTCGATCCATCGCCCATTGTGCTCAAGCTTTTTTTTCTGCTCCTCCTGCGCCCCCTCCGCCACCCTCTCGCTGTGTTCAAAACGAACCCAGCCCACTCTACACTTAACGGCAACTGTTGCGTGAGTGACTGTTTCGGTCGCGCTCGCTGCGATCGTGGCTCTGGCAAGCGCGCTCCGAGCCTATGTTTTACAGATCAAAGCGTGCGCTGGCTGCGCACGGTCCCGAGAAAAAGAGGAACTCTGGAGGTCCTTCAGGCTCTCATGTGGTCTCAGACTGTGGGTCAGTATGTAGCCTCCTTGGCCACGCAGGTTAGTGAATGTAAAGATATGTAGATACACATACACACATATATATATATATACATATATATATATATATGCACACTCGTATAACTATCTCTCTATATCCCTCTCTCTCTCTCGTTCTCCTGCTCTCTCAGACGTGCTATGCCTGTCTGGCTCCTCCCGTCCCCTCGCTCTGTCTCTACCTCTTCTTCTCTCTCTCTCTCTCTCTCTCTCTCTCTCTCTCTCTCTCTCGATCCCCCCCTCCCTCGGAATTGGCCCAGGACGAGGGTGGCTGCGAATCGATGTCGTGCTCCTCCAAGGGCCCCGACGTCAAGCTCGCCGAGACCCACCGCGGCACGTCGAGCTCAGGGGCTATGAGCTCAGGGGCCACTAGCTCAGGGGCCACCAGCTCAGGGGCCACCAGCTCAGGGCCCAGCTCGAAGCCCCCGTTCCCTTTCTCGGCGAGCATGCTCGGCATGGCGATCGACGACAGCGACAGCGAGAAGGGGGTGAAGAAGAAGAAGAAGAAGAAGGCTGTTCACAAGAAGTCGAAGGCTGGACTGGCGAAAGGCGCGAGTGCTGAGATGATTGACGTCGACGCCGAGGACGTGATGAGCGGGCCCCCAGTGCTGAACCAGATCCCGAAGTGGCTCGTCGAGAGGGCGAAGGGCGACACGCCGAGGAAGCGTCCGTCAGCGGTGCCGATGAAGCGCCCCGCCAAGGCCGACGCCACGCCGAAGGCAGCAGCGAAGAAGATGAAGGCCTCCAAGGACGAGGGCCACGATGAGGAGAATGACAACGAGCTCGAGGGCGAGGGCGATGACGCGGAGCCCGAGGAGGGAGAGGAAGAAGAGGACGCCGAAGAGGACGAGGAAGAGGATCCCCAGGAGGGAGAGGAGGACGAGGTCCCAGCGACCCAGGTGGACGCTGCGGCGGGCGAGGGCGACGCGCCGTGGCCCATCCAGGCGACGTTCAGCGTCAAGGGCCAGAAGAACGAGTTCCAGGTGAAGCTGAAGCGCAGGGAGTCGGATAAGATCTCGGTGATCGACTTCAGGCAGGTCCCAGACACGTGGAAGCAAATGATTCAGATCTCGGACCACTCGATGTCTGAGAACTACGCGCTCTACAACAAGGGCAGCGCGAAGGAGGCGGGCATGTACGTCATGAAGAAAGTGTTCGACATGGTCGCCTCCACCTCTGCGGTGACCAAGGCGAGGGCCAACGCGGTCAAGCACGAGGCCCTGGTCATGTGGGCGCAGACGGACTCGCAGCTGCCAGGATGAAGCAGGACGCGAATCCATCATAATTGGAACCATGACGCCCTCCCTCATCCGCCTCATCCTCCTCATCCTTGATTATCTCCTCATCCCCATCTCCCCCGTGAGTTTCCTGGCCCCGCATTTTTTAGACCCACTTTAAGCTTTGAAGCTCACTGGGCAATGGCTTGAATCTCCTCTTCCCCCTCGGCCAGCCCCCCGCGGACCCCGGAGGGCCGTGTCTCATGAAGGTTGAGGTGGTCACACGCGCGACTTACCGTTGCGTGGACCGAGGGTGGGGGGCGCATTTCAATCACGGGGGATCGACCGAGGAGGACGAGCGGGGAAGGAGGTGGAGAGAGGGGGGAGCGGGAGGACGATGAGCGGAGGTAGCAGTATGAGGAGAGATGGGATAAACCCATGAGGCGGAGCGAGGATGAGGATGCAACGCGAGATGGTCGACCCGAGGGGGGGGGGAGCAGCAGCGGCAGCAAGCTCTCGTGAAGACGAGAGGTGAGGGATGCACCGAGGCGGGAGACGCCGGAGGGAAGGACGCAACTGGTACCGACGTCGAGCTTATGACTATGAAGCTTGGCGCTATCTTTTGAGACCAGGGGTTTTGCATGGGGGCGGCAGGGGCCACAGGACAGGGCCCACTGCGCAGCGTGACCAGGAGTTGCAATCTCGGGGGAGGCAGGGCCCTGATCAGCGGGTGGGGGGCTGCTCAGTAACTGAGGGTGGGATCGAGCGATACATTCATGCAGCGAGCTGGGGGGGCGAAGCTCGGCGCGCTGCTCACCGTCGCGACCGTCGTCGCGGCTTTGATTTGCTGCGTGGAGAGTGCGAGCGTGCGCACTGCACAAAGGTAAAACAGGTTGTCTTGAGATGAGATTGCAAGGCCTCGAGGGCGGACCGAAGTCCCAGATGTGGCCATCGGCCGATTGCCCATCAGCCTTGAGAGAGGCCCTGCGGCGGAAGAGAAGGAGGGGGATGGGGGAGCAAGAGGAGGAGGAGGAGGAGGAGGAGGAGGAGGAGGAGGAGGAGGAAGGGGAGGAGGACATCGAGGGTCCTGGGTCGAGGATGGCAGTGAGACGGTAAAGGAGTAAGACGTCGCGGGATGATATGTTATGCTATGCCATCGGAGGTGGTACCACGATGTCGGATGCTCGCTGCATCGTGCGATGTCTTCTGGGAGCCGATCGTCCATTGATGGCTGTTGCATCTGCTACGCCAGCATTGCGATGCTATGAAAGCCAACGTTGTGAACGCATCGCGATTTGAAAAAAAATGCGCATGATATTATATGCTATGGGAGCCTCGACGTTGGATCCGCGTGGGTCACGGCGCTGTCTTGTTCTGGGGCGGCTCGGGGCCGCGCCGCAGCCACTCGGATCGGCAGAGGGGGTTCTTGACGGGCGCTCGAAGAAAGCTCGAGCTTGCAGCAGGCGGCCAGGGCAGTTGTAGCAAATTGCATGCCAAGGGAAGTGCCACATTGCATTGGATGACGCGGACATGGGGTGCAGCACGGATGAATTACAGCCAGCGCGTGTTGCCCAACACATGTG